TTCTAGGTTTATACTAAGATGTTCTGTATATGTTACAGACATGTATATTATTTACTTATTTTTTTATTTATATTCTAATGCAAGGTAAAAATCATTTGTGGTAGTTCACAGCACTATTCCATAGCACAATGTGTAACACAGATTAATTATTCAATAAATATGCAAATAATTAGGAATTCAAAGAAATAAACCCATAAAGAAATAAAGCTAGGTCAACTCCATCATTTATCAACAAGTAAAAGTATATCCAAATAAGAAAGTGCCTAGACCACTTTTCCTACAGATAATTATGGCTTGGTATGTCTTTTGCACAATATACAGATTCAGTACAGTAATGCTGGTATATCATAACCACCACACACACATGCACACCCACAAGAAATAAAAATGAAGGAGACATGTAGTATATTCAGAAAATGATTATTCAAACAATTCAGGAAAAACACGGAAGACATCTCAACTACTACCCTATAATGATGGTCTGAGTAAAAGTCCTCTGAAGTCTTCAAGCTCTGTGCTATTACCTCCTCCTTTTTGAGTCCTTATAATCAAACACTTAAAATTACACAGAGTTCATCTTTTTACCATCTTGTAAGAAAATGTCCATCTATGGATATCATTGCCTTATTTACTGCAGCTTATAGTTCTTGCAGTACACTAAATTCAACTATACAGATAAATGCAGGTGCAAAATTTAGTAGAGAACATAATTTTTCAAATCCCATTCACATAACACTGCACTGTACCCTAGAATGGACTGCATGTTCCATCCAATAGTTTAAAATCATCATACTTTAAAATGGAAAGGTCTTGTTGGAATATTTTATGTAGTTACAGGTGCCATATTTTAAGAAGAATATTGATGATACAAACTCTGACAAGATGGAATGCGTTCAGAAAGGCAACCCAGGCTCTGCCCTGACAGCAGCAAGGGCTCCGGCAGCACCTGGGTGTGCTCTGGCAGGTCTTTGGGCAGCAGACCGCAATGCTGAAGGCGAAGATCCTCTTTGTGGGGCCCTGTGAGAGTGGAAAAACCTTTTGGGCCAACTTCCTGACAAAATCTTCTGACATCGCCAAATACAACCCAACCCAAGGAATGAGGATCCTGGAATTTGAGAACCCATATGTTACCAGCAACAACAAATGCACGGGGTGTGAATCTGAGCTCTGGGATTGTGGTGGCGATCCAATGTTCGAGTCTTGCTGGCCAGCCCTGATGAGGGACTCTTATGGGGTGGTGATCATCTTCAATGCTGACATCCCAAGCCACCTGAAGGAAACTGAGATGTGGTATTCCTGCTTCGTCCAGCAGCAGTTTTTACAGGATACTCAATATCTGTTGAGTGCACACCATAAACCAGGCTCTGGAAGTGACAAAGCAAACCCAGCTTTGGCGCCATCCTTGAACAAGCTGAAGCTGGTGCACTCAAATCTTAAGGATGACCGGAAGAGATCAGGATGGAGTTCATGAAGTATTTAAGAAGCATAATCAACTCAGTGTCTGAGAGCAGAGACTGGGAGGAGATGTCAATTATCAATTAACCGGCCTTCACCTAGATGCTTCCGCATCCCAAATGAAGTCAATTTTAGTGCAAATCTGAAATCCATCCACCTACTGAGGTTCTCATCTCCCTTTGGCTGTAGAAGACATTTTCCTTATTTGGCCAAAGGTAACAGTCAGCCAGGGAGTTGACTCATACCATCTATTCTCTGTCCTTAGTTCAGTTGAGAAAATCCTGTTACTGAATTCTGATTGCTTTGCCCCAGATCTCTCCAAAGAGCTGGAAAACTAAGGTGGTTTTTGCTTCCCCTTCACATTATGTCACATTACAAAAGTTGTGGAATTGTAACTGTCATAGCCCAGTGATAGCAACAGTAGTTTAAACCACGTGGATTGGTTTAAATGTGATTTTCATTCCTTAATCTGTACAACTTGCCTAGAATATTTTTGAAAAATATTAGCATTTAACTTCTCCAACATTTTATTTTTATTTAGACGTCCTTGATATCTGGACACCATATCACACTGGAAGGTGGAATACATATACTTCTTCTAAAAAGTTTTTTTATTATCTCAGGGGAATTTAATTCTTAAATGTTATTTCATAAAATACAGGAAAAACAATGTTATGCTGTCATAACACCCATTTGTAAAAATAGTCAAAAGATTTAATGCTCAGGATAACCAAACATGGTGAGTTTATAGCTTATTGTACAAGTTTGTTTTAGTGATCTTTCAAATTGTTGTTCTTTCATAAATTTTACTTTTTGAATTTTGTAATATAGCCAACCTGAAAATATATTAACTAGATCAAAAGTTAGATGTAGGGACTTCCCTGGTGGCGCAGTGGTTAAGAATCCGCCTGCCAATGCAGGGGACACGGGTTCCATCCCTGGTCTGAGAAGACCCCACATGCCGCAGAGCAACTAAGCCCATGCGCCCCAACTACTGAGCCTGTGCTCTAGAGCCCATGAGCCACAACTACTGAGCCTGCATGCTGCAACTACTGAAGCCTGTGCACCTAGAGCCCATGCTCTGCAACAAGAGAAGCCACCACAATGAGAAGCCCATGTGCTGCAACAAAGAGTAGCCCCTGCTCACCACAAGTAGAGAAAGCCTGCACACAGCAACGAAGACACAACATAGCCAAAAAAAAAAAAAACCAAACATGTTAGATGTAGGTCTTTTCAACTGAGAGTGGAAGAAAAGTAGAGACACTTACAAAAGATGAAAAATATGCCCAGCTGTGTTTCACTCTTACAATGAAGAGGGCTGAAATGCAGCCGTTTGGGCAGTCTGCTTGAGAGAGTGGTGTTGGCAGATAATGACAGTTCCCTGGTAAATTTAGATTGAACTACAGTCAACTCTTAGTAAACTGCCTGGATTACCAGTGAGCACATTTTAAGCCCAGGTTAATTTCCTTTTGCCTGACCTCCACTCAGTTGGAACTTTTGCAAGGAACACAAGATAATGTTAATGCAAACTGTAGTAAATCTTCCTTGTGTAATACCTGCAATAATACTAATTGATGTTGAGACTACAGCTCCAAAACAGAGATTATTTTTATCTGATATTTTAATGCTTATCCAAGAGCTCAGTAGAAAAATTAACCCAGCAGCTTTCATTTACATTCATAGCCAGAGTACAACCCTTGGGAGTCCCTGAATTGAGAAAAATGTTTTAAAATTTAAGAGGCCACATGTGCAGAGGTTACAAGAGACCATTTAATGAAGAAGTCTCCCTGTCTTACCTGTCCCCAAACCCCAGCCCCTCTCCAGAAGCCCCCTTACCTTCTGTATTCTATCAGAAGTCTGTGCACATACAAATGTGCTTTATTAAAGGAAACAGTAGCAAACTATTCACACTTTTTTACAGCTTGCTTTTTTCACTTTTTTTTATTTGGAGGATTTGTGTAAATATATACAGAGCTGCCTTTTTCTTTTTTACAGCTGCATAATATTCCACTTAACCATTTATTTGGGAATTTTATATTACATATTTTTACTAACAAAAAAAAGAGAAAGAAAGGCAACCCAAAACAATATAATGTCTGTAAAACATATACATGAAAAATTATGAGAAACAGAAGCAGTTAATAAGTTAATAAAAAATTTATTAATAAAGTTATCTTTTATTATTTGAAGGTCTGAACTACAGAACTGATTAGACTGTTTCTGAGATTCTCTAGATAAGGAATCAGGATACAAATGGGTGCCTACTGTAAAAAGCCAAATGTCAACTAAATATATGAAACAATCTAGAAATTTGAACAAAATAAAAAGAACAGTCTTGAAGAGTACTGAGAAACTTATAAACTAAAAGTATCAAGCAAAGGCTAAAAGCTTTTTTATAGGGAAGAAGATAGGAATAATTAAAAATTTTAAGATTGCTTCTAAAACTTAAGATTCTATTACTGTTTAGAATTACTTTTTTGCCTTCCATCAAATTACTGGCTTAAAAAAATTATACCATGAGTGCATAAAGTCTATCATCTGTAAAGAAATAATTTTCCTCACCCTATGGTAAAAAGATTTTTAAAATGTGACACAATGGATTTTTGCTTTCATTTATAATATATAATGCTTATATATTTTTACACATAATAAAACATATATAATATAAATTACTATATATTATATATAAATATATAATAGTATGTATTAATCTATTACCCAATAAAAAATCCTGCCCCAATATATATATTGTAATACAGTATATATAAAAATAAATATTAAGTATATATAAATATTTATGTATATCATAATTATATATAATGTTAATTATATATCTATATAAACATTATATATATAGTATATTACATATAAAAATATATGACATATTTCAGAGGATGAAATTGTGCTTATACAGGTATGTGATAAACTTTGTATGATTTATTTTAATTAGTTCAAATTTTAAAATGTACACACATACATACATGTGTATATATGTATAACATATGTATGTATATGTGTATATATATTTATGATCTGTTCTAACAATATTTTCTGATAAAGATTATTATAAAATAAATTAATAGGTAGTTTAACATCTTTCAAAACACTTAAAAAGTTTTTCAAGTACTTCCACTTTATGAGTAGTGCTACAAAATTAACTATTTTGATATAGAAAGAATATTTCACAAACTAAAACTATTTAGAACATAATAAAATAAAACGTCAAAACTGGATCACTCATTTATTATTCATTATAACAATAATATTACATAATGCATGGGTAGGAATTTTAGAAGGAAACAAGGAATGAATGCATCCTCCTTGTTAAAAACTGAACCAAGGCTACTCTTTGAGCATGATTCTTTTCAGCCCTGTGAAACCCCTGATTGTCCCTGTTAATTCTAGGTAGTTTCAATGCACAAACATAAGTACTCACAGAAGACATATATTGTCATTTTAGGGTGTTAATAATAAACAAAAATGCTGGCATTCTGCATAACAAAGGACATTTCTAAAATGTTAAATTAAGGAGTGAGTATACTTGCCTGACCAGGGTAATATCCATATCCTTCTGGATAAGTTCAGTCTGTTTATTATTCAACTGTAATGATAGAGCATTATATTTACTCTGTGATACTTCAATTTCTTTCCTTGCTTCGATTAAATTGTCTTCAAAGGCCTAAAATTAGAGCACTCATATCACAAATATAATAAATATCAAATAAATAAATAAAATTAAAAGCCTGTTATATTTAATCCACAAAATAACAGTGAAAAATCAGTAGTGCTTTAAATTTTGTTTTCATTAAATTAAAAAATGTTAATACAATCAATAAATTTTACACCAGTCACAGGTTACTTTTTTCAGAAACTGTAAAAGTATCATCGTCTCCTGGTGTGAAAGTTAAGAATCTGAAGCTAATAAACTTGAAAATCTATGTAGAAATTTACTTATTAAAATTACAGTAAAGTATTATATAATGAAAAAAGTTAATTACAATGAACAAAAAAAGAGCTCATTTACTTAAATATTACTCAAAACAAATAGATATTTTATTATTTCCTCAACTTTAAATGCAGATACACTCGAGAAGAAAAAATGGTGCAGCAAAAAAATAAAAATAATTTTACAATGTTTCAGGTTCAGATCATGCTGAGTTCACTTGATTGTGGTGAAATTTCACCTAAAGTTCAAAGTTGGTCTTTTCCTCTTGATAATTCTCTAAATCTTTTTTTCATTTTGAAACAATTTTAAAACTGATGTACAAGGAATAAAGATGCAGATGCAGAGAATGGACTTGAGGACACAGGGAGGGGGAAGGGTAAGCTGGGACGAAGTGAGAGAGTGGCATGGACATATATACACTACCAAATGTAAAATAGATAGCTAGTGGGAAGCAGCTGCATGACACAGGGAGATCAGCTGGGTGCTTTGAGTCCACCTAAAGGGATGGGATAGGGAGGGTGTGAGGGAGATGCAAGAGGAAGGAGGAATGGAAATATATGTATATGTATAGCTGATTCACTTTGTTACACAGCAGAAACTAACACACCATTGTAAAGTAATTATATTCTGATAAAGATGTTAAAAAAGAAAAACTGATGTACATTTTTTCAAAAATATTTTTTCTCAAAAATATATGATAAAATTAATTTATTTTCATAAAATATTAAATAAATATTTTATCTAAAAGTAGAGGATACCCCAAAATACACTATACATTCATTATGTACAAAAGCGAGCAACAAGCTTTAGGTCAAGCACTAAAAATCTACTCTAGCAATGCACCCATACCTCATATATTCTCCCTGCAGTAACTAGAATGAACTTTTGAAGATAAAAATATTGGCTTTCAGCCAAGATAGCACTGTGAGTACATGCATATCTCACTTTATCATGTTTCCCGTTATTGCACTTCACTGATATTGCATTTTTTTACAAATTGAAGGATTGTGGTAACCCTGCATCAAACAAGTCTATCAATGCCATTTTTCCAACATTTGCTCACTTCATGTCTCAGTGCCATACTTTGGTAATTCAAACTCTTTCATTATTATTATATTTGTTATGGTGACCTGTGATGAATGATATTTGATGTTACTACTACAACTTGCTAAAGGCTCAGATGACAGTTAGCTGTTTTTAGCAATAAAATATTTTTTTAAGATATGTAAACTGTTGTTTTATAAGAAGAATTTAAGAAGAATTACTTCTTAAATTCCCATTTATTAAAAAAGAGTAATGATAGATATATAGGTGGGTGTGTAGGTGGATGTAAGAGAGAAAGAGAGAAGGAAACATGGAAGGAAAGGGAAATGAGAGAAGGGAAGGGAAGGCAGAAAATAACAGGTGTTCGCTGGGACGTGAAGAATTAGGAACCTTTGTGTGTTGCTGGGACTGTAAAAATACTCTCAAAAACAGTATGGGGGGGTTTCAAAACATAAAAAACAGGACCACCATATAATCCAGCAATCCCACATCTGCATATACATTTAAAAAAACTAAAAGCAGGTTCTTGAAGAGATATCTGTAAACCCATGTTTGTAGCAGCACTATTCACAATAGCCAAGTGGCAGCAACCTAAACGTCAAATGAATAAACAAAACGTGCTATACACATAAAATGAAGCACAATGCAGCCCCCAAAGGAAAGCCTGTCACATGCTACCACATGGATGAACCTTGAGGACATTATGCCTAATGAAACAAATCAGTCACAAAAGGACAAATACCAGATGACTCCACTTATATGAAGTATCTAAAGTAGTCAAATTAATAGATACACAGAATAGAACGGTAGTTACCAAGGCCTAGGGTAAGGGAGCACTAAGCAGTTGTTATTAAAAAACAGAGTTGCAGGTCTTGAAGTCAACGAAGTTCTGGAGATCTCTTTCAAAATAATGTAAATATAGTTAACACTACTGAACTGTACACTTAAAAATGGTTAAGATGGTTAATTTTATGTTATGTGTTTTTTACCACAATAAACAAGGAAGGAAATTTTGACATAGGAAAGAACATGGATGGACCTTGAGATAATTATGGAAAGCCAAATAAGTCACTTACAAAAAATAATGTATGACTCCACTTATATGAAGAATCACATAGAGACACAAAGCAGACTAGTGGATGCCTGGAGCTGGGGGGAGGAGAAATGGGAAGTTGTTTTTGAATATAGTTTCACTTTTGAAGGATGAAATGTTTCTGCAACTTGGTTGCATACCAATGTGTATATACTTAACACTGCTGAACTGTATACTTAAAATGATAAAAGATTCTAAATTTTATGTTATATTACTTAACCACAATTTTTAAAAAACCCTATGGAGAGGCCAAGATTTAATTAGATTAGACTGTGGAGCAATTTGTGTCCCAGGATATTGACAAAAACAACAGAAGAATCTAATCAGTCATCAGTTTTTGGAGGCCAACAGCTGGGTGTGATACCAACAGACATATTAACAAACAAACATATTAACAGATCAAGAGACAGACACATGAACAGACAAATCAAGAGAAGAGACAGTGAAGGAGAGCCCTGCTAAAATCACAGGGTGAATGTGCACATGTCCAGGTCTGTGCTTTATGAAAAGCAACCACGAGAGACTGTTAACAGCATGGGAAACAGATTTCCTAAAATGGCCCAATGAAAACATTAAAAAAAACAATGAGCAAACGTCAACAAGCCCTGATGTTATGGCAGTGAGGAACCAGTATCCAAAACTGCTACAGTGGGAATTCCCTGGCGGTCCAGTGGTTAGGACACCACACTTTCACTGCTGAGGGTGCGAGTCCAATCCCTGGTCAGGGAACTAAGATCCCACAAGCCATGCAGCGCAGCCAAAAACAAACACAAACAAACAGACAAAACAAACCCCCAAACTGCTACAGTATATAATTTTATTTTTATTATTTTTTTTTGCTTTGAAAAAGTTACTTTTCTTTTTACTTTATATTTATTTTTATTAAGATAACATTGGTTTATAATATTATATGTTTCATGTGTACAACATTATATTTCTACTTCTGTATACCCTACCCTACAGCATGCTCACCACCAAAAATTTAGTTTCCATCCATCACCATACAGTAAACTCCTTTTATCCATTTCACCCCCCACCACCACAACTTCCCCTGGTAACCACTACTGTGCTCTCTGTATCTATGTGTTTGTTTCTCTTTAGTTTATTTTGGTTTTTGTCTGTTTCCTTTTTGTATTCCACATATTAGTGAAATCACACAGTTCTCCATCTGACTCTTTTACTTAGTATAATACCCTCAAGGTCCATACATATTGTCACAAATGGCAAGATTCCATCTTTTTGATGGCTGAGTCGTATTCTACTCTGTGCATATGTGTGTGAGTGTGTGTATGTGTGTGCACACGTGTGTGTGTGTGTGTGTATACCGTATCTTCTTTATCCATTTATTGGTTGATGGGAACTCAGGTTGTTTCTATATCTTAGCTATTGTAAATAATATCACAATGAACATCATGGTGCATATATCTTTTTGAATTAGTGTTTTCATATTCTTTGAATAAATACCCAGACATGGGGTAGCTGAATCATATGGTAGCTCTATTCTTAATTTTTTGGACTCTTCATACAGTTTTCCACAGTGGATGCACCAATTTACATTCCCATCAAGACTATCTGAGGCTCCCCTTTTCTCGACATCCTCAACAGCACCTGTTATTTCTTGTCTTTTTGATAATAGCCATTCTAACAGGAGTGAGCTGATATCTCATTGTGGTTTTGATTTGCATTTCCCTAATAATTAGTGATGTTGAACACCTTTTCGTGTGCCTGTTGGCCATCTGCATGTCTTCTTTGGGAAAATGTCTAATCAGGTCCTCTGCCCACTTATTAATTGGATTGTTTATTTCTTGAGTTGTATGAGTTCTTTATATATTTTGGATTTTACCTTTTATCAGATATATCATTTGCAAATGTCTTTTCCATTCAGTAGATTGCCTTTTCATTTTGTACATGGTATTCTTTGCTGTGCAGAAGCTTTTTAGGATGATGTAGTCCCATTTGTTTATTTTTGCTTTTGTTTCCCTTGCCTGAAAAGACGTACCCAGAAAGACACTGTTAAGACCAGTGTCAAAGCACGTAAAGCCTATGTTATCCTCCGAGTTCTATGGTTTCATGACTTACATTTAAGTCTTTAATCCATTTGAGTTGATTTTTGTGTATGGTGTGGGACAGTGGTCTAGTTTCATTTTTTTGCATGTGGCTGTCCAGTTTTCCCAACACCATTTATTGAAAAGGCTATAATGTCTTTATATATATATGTTCCTTTGTTGTATATTAATTACCTGTTTATGTGTTGGTTTATTTCTGGGTGTTCAATTCTATTCCATTGATCTATGTATCTGTTTTTCTGAAAATATCATGCTGTTTTGATTAATATGGCTTTGTAGTCTAGCTGGAAATCATGGACTGTGATACCTCCAGCTTTGTTCTTTTTTCTCAGGATTGCTTTGGCTATTCAGGGTCTTTTGTGGTTCCATTATAAATTTTAGAAACTTTTGTTCTATTTCTGTGAACAATGTCCTTTTGACTTGGAAACAGACTGAACTGAAGCTATATATTGTTTTAGGTAGTATGGGTATTTTAACAATGCTAATTCTTCCAACTCATAAGCATAAAATATTTTTCAATTTATGTGTCT